GCGAAAGAATAATTTTGTGGTGGAGGAAAAACAAATGCTTGGAGCAATCCAGTGAAGTACCTCTTTGTGGTTCACATAACTACTTTTAAAATATAGACACTTCTCACATTCTGCCACGTGTTGGTCTATGACACCAGTCACGTAAGTGTCTATGTGGATACCATCACGCCACGTAAGTTACAGCTTTTTGGATTCATTATAAAGAAAAAAACAAATTCAACATTTTTTGGGGGATAAAATGTGATGCGATTTTTATCAATGGGATCCTTTCGTTTCTATAATCGCTGAGTTTACTCTCGATTAGCCAGAAATTGTGAGTTTATTATATAGCTTTCAGTTTGGTTGAAATATGATCAAAATGACTTCATCTTTTTTAGTAAGTTGAGTTAGTATTCAAAAATAGTGCGTTCGAAACATTACGAATCCCAAACAAAATTTATATCCGTAAAGAACAAAAGTAATCAACCGGTACCTGTATATTAGTATATCATATAATCATCTCAAAGCATTAAACATTGAATTCATGTTAATCGCCTCCATGATTTATAACTCGAATGATAATTATCCACTAGTGTAGTACCCGCGTGCTGCGTGGGAATAAGTTTTTGCTATAGTTTATTATTCTAAACTTGTTAGTCATTAAAATATGATTTAGGTTAATAAATTGGTATTCTTTGAAATTCTAAATCGAAACTAAATCATACAACTAAATAGACACATGTCTAATATACTTTCCGTACGGATATAACTAATCAAATCACTGTGAGGGTCTTAGCTTGTTACAACATCTAAACGATATTATAAATTATGAACATAATACCACCTATACATATTAATAATTTTTAATTTACGAATCAAATTTTAGATCTAATTTTATAAATCAATATTCATTTATACTTTTCACTAATATTTTGTTTGAACCAAAAGTTTAAAATTATTCATAAACATTACACCATCATTGTTTTTGAAAATTTGAGAAAGGCTAAACCCTAACATAAGAGCCTAAACTCTAGCATCAAATTGTGAATTTAATAAGATACATATACGTAAATTTGATATTTTCATATAACTACTTGATCGATGAGTTTGCACTTGAATTTATTTTGTTTTGTCTCTAGTTTAATGTTCAAATTTAGAGAATAATATTTTAAAAAAAAATAATTTATATGTTTTGGTTTTTCCTTTGGTGGATCATCTTTTCTTCACTCTATTTAGCTCTAATTGTTTGGATTGGATCCAGATTCTTCGTACGGATCGTATATGTCTAGCATAAAATCTTGGACTATCATACAAAATAGTTGTAGAATTCCGAGTAGAAGTTTAGTCCTCTTATAAATTAGATAAATGGCTAATTAATATTTCATTCACGAAAATTTAATAAAAATCTCGTAATTGTCAGTTAATGTTAATGTTGCATAAGTAACTATCATCATCTTTAAACAATACATGTCCTAATATCAGAGATATAAACCTAAGTGTATTCGATCACATTTCACCAAATCACTTTTTGTATTTGTTTTAGAAAAACTTTGAATAATTACTTGCATGGTTATATATATGCCATAAACTTAGCTTACATGTTTAACAGTGTTATTAGATTAGTTATTTTTTAAAATTCATCCTATCGATTATAAT